ATGGCGCTAAACTCACCTAGATATAAAATTTGTTGCTGTCAACGAGAAAATCCAATATCTTAGACCAAATATTAGTACACTGTACTTTTCCTTTGGCTACATATTTTGAGAAGATTATTCACTACAATCCCCCAATGATTAACAGTTATTTTGTATTTTTTATATTTATCACAACGGCACATTAATACAGTATAATAAATTTAGCAATATGATTTTCGGTTATTATGGCATACATTTTGTCGGAGTGGTTATTCAATTCATTGTAAATGCGTTTCGCGTGCACTCTGTATTTATAATAATTGAAAAACTAAAACATATATATCAATAGTAACTGATATTTGGAAATCAGTATCAGAAAATACTTCTGGTAGCTATACGTTTTCTTAAAAGTATTCACCTAAAGGAAACAACATAAAAATGTCATTATGACGAATATTTAACTATGTATCATTGCCTTTGATTGTCGACCTTATCTTCTTTCCTCTCTCTTAAATAAGATTGTGACTTTCATAACTGCAAATACAGTTTTAATATGTTGTAATGAAGACACAGTTGCTAAAGTTCTTATCATATGTGATAAGTTTTGACGTTTTTATATGGCAAAATATGGAACAAGTATGAGAAGGAGTTACATATTCATCAACATCAACATTATTTAATTTTTTTAAAATATGTTAATTAGAGCCTTATTACTTACTTCCCAGTAATATTCATTTATTTGCTAAAGCACAAAAGTTCAATATATCATCCGGTGTCCCGGAAATGTTCTCTAGCACCCCACCAAGAATACCGTTATTTACAGATATGACCTGTTTGATGCTCGAACTGGAAAGATATTCAGCGGTATGTGCTCTCCCACATCATCCCCTCTCTTCCTCTCCCTATATATATATATATATATATATATATATATATATATATATATATATATATATATATATATATATATATATATATATATATATATATACACATATATATATATATATATATATATATATATATATATATATATATATATATATATATATAAAGAATACAAATCATATGGCGAATAACAACCCTCTCAAGCGTACTGGATCCACCAAGGGATCACGTCTGTCAGGGATTAATTAAAATAGATGCAATAAACTGACGACGAACAGTACGAAACTAGTAACTAACTAGCCTAAGCGCTTTCGACTCTTAATGAGTCTTTTTCAAAGGCAAATACAAAACATAGTTACGACAAACAAATAAACACAAAAACGTTGCGTTTGTAAACCTCTACATTTCTATCTTCACATGTGCTAAAACTATAAATACAACCAGCTTGTATAGACTAGTTGCGGAAACTGAAAACGTTGTATAATTCCCTAAAAGTCTACAAGCCAAAGCGACATCTATTTTTACTTTGTGTACATATGTAACGCAGATTATATCCCGGATATTTGGTTCTATACCGGTTATCCTAGTCAATCTGGACCCTGTGGCGATAAAAGATGCAAAACCTGTCAACATATGATAGAGACCAAGACATTCACTAGCACAGTGACTAAAGAAAAACTAAACATACATGGTCCACACAAAACGTGCAAAACAGAGAATGTGATTTATCTCATCACATGTAAGATCTGTGGCCTTCAGTACGTGGGAGAAACTGAAAAGCTACACATAAGGATAAACCTTCATAGATCTGATTGGATGACAAAAAAGCTGTACAGAAGCCCGGTCGCAGAACACTTCTCCTCCCCTGGCCACACTTTCAGTGATATAATACTTATCGCTATTGCCAACAACCACAGCTGGAGTTCCGAAACCAGGAAGGAAAAGGAATCATACTGGATACGCCGCCTTAGAACATTGAAACCAAGCGGTCTAAACCAAGAAGACTAGAAAATGAAAACTATGCACTAGTAGAATTTAACATTTTCTAAATCTTCTTATCCTTCAATTTTTACTATAAGAATAACCGGTATAGAACCAAATATCCGGGATATAATCTGCGTTACATATGTACACAAAGTAAAAATAGATGTCGCTTTGGCTTGTAGACTTTTAGGGAATTATACAACGTTTTCAGTTTCCGCAACTAGTCTATACAAGCTGGTTGTATTTATAGTTTTAGCACATGTGAAGATAGAAATGTAGAGGTTTACAAACGCAACGTTTTTGTGTTTATTTGTTTGTCGTAACTATGTTTTGTATTTGCCTTTGAAAAAGACTCATTAAGAGTCGAAAGCGCTTAGGCTAGTTAGTTACTAGTTTCGTACTGTTCGTCGTCAGTTTATTGCATCTATATATATATATATATATATATATATATATATATATATATATATATATATATATATATATATATATATATAAGAAAATTTGCATGATTTGAAACATTTTAATAGAGAAAATATCTTATTTCCATAAACTTAATGTGAACAATTTCAAAGAAGCTTCAATATTGTCAATAAATTCCCGATTAGGCCCAAGCATTGAATCTCAGATAGAAATTAACAGTGTTCCATATAAAATCCAATTATATTCCAAATATTCTCTAAATCTGAATGTATGGATGTGCCTGGAGTCTTGAACTGGGATATGTACTAACAGTCTTTCAATCATCCAAATTGTTTTTCTCTGAATTCGCAATAATGCCACACTAATGTTCCTGTCCAAAATTATCTTTGAGATCTTTGTAATTCCTGTTAATAATGGTCTATAAAATCAACAAATAAAAATTAAAATCTCTACACAATACTGATGGAGATTATTCTCCTAGTCTAAAGAGAAAGGAATAAAGAATATTATATACAAATAATAGGAATCAATTATAGAACCAGGATAAATGTCGAAAGTTCATTTCTAGGATATACCGTGTGGTAAACAACATAAGATTTGCAACTAAAAATTATGCTAAATATCATCATAAGGCCAGGTTCACCAATAGTATTAGATTGTATTTGTGGTTATCAATATACTATAAACAGATTATGATAAACACATTTTTCCTCCTCTGAACATGATCCTAATTTGTAGTCTATGCTCACAGCAAAATATTTTATATGTATTACGTTGTTTACAAAATCATTGTCTATAGTCCGATATACCATAAGTAAGAAAAGACAATACCAACAAATAAAAATATAAGACACTCTTTATATATGTATGAATTATGAGTGGGTATGTTGTGTGCATTTGTGTTGTGTATTTGGTGTCTGTACATCACTGTAAATTATATTTATCATCCATAAGCAAGGTGTTAAATCGCTAATTTTTGTTACCTATTCTATTTGAAGTTATTTGGCTCTAAAGTTGAGTTTACCAGTTTTAATGCTTTAATTTAAATGTCACTGATAAATTTGTTTACTAGTCTGGAGCCATGTAAGCTATAAACTGTTTACATTGTATATTTAAATCAGGTGGTTTAGTATTGTAGCTCATGTCACGTATTAGTATTGGACCTGATATGATAGGGTTTTTCTTTATTGGTGAGTATAACACATTTTGACACCGTTCGCACAAATGTTTGTTTTCGTTAATTGTAAATAAAATCACATTATACATTAGACAGAATGAAAAAATACGTTTCTATTTATTTATCCATTATTATAATTTTAGCATCAGGTGGCTTGTTTAATTTTATTTAAGTTTTTATCATGATATCTCCTTCTACTGTTAGTTTTGAGTAGCTACCCATTAACAATGTTATTCTGATATCTGGTTATATTCGATTATTTCCTTACAGGTCGTTCCTACTGTGGGAGAGTTTGTGACCCAACTTACAAAGTATCGATAGTCATGTCACGTAATTATTTTTTGACAGTGCGCACAGCTGCACACGAACTTGGACACAAGTAAGTTTACTCGTACGAGACTGCTTTTTCCGTACACAATCTTCTGTTCGTTTAACACTTACGGTGCCATGCGTTGTGTTTCTGATTTACACATGAGTTCGTTGTAGCCGTCTATCGATGACCAGTGGTTTCTTCCGATTTTATTTTCCATTTATATTTATTCAATCACTAGGTCACGGCACGATTTAGGCGGTCGAGAATATTTTATAAAAGCACTGGAATTAATTTTATATCATTTTTCCTTATTAATTTTAATGAAATAATCTCATATTGATATGTGTGTCGTTTGTGTAAAATAACATTTTGCTCCATTCTAATTTATACATTTTTATTGGCGATATGCGACTAGCTAGGGGAGATATAATGTAGAAACTACACCGTGTCTAAGGTAAAGTCATGTACTTTAACTGTTTTTTTCCTCCAGTCTTGGAGCAGACCATGACGGTGAGGGGAACGCAAAAGCTTGCAGAGCTGAAGATCGTTTTCTTATGTCTGCGAAGGACCCATTGTTTAACAAAACTAAACCATACTCCAGACACCCTTGGATATTCTCTAACTGCTCCGTGGAAGCGTTCAAGAATACACTAAAAAACAAGTATGTATGCATAATATACAATACATATAGTAGAGTGAAATAGCGATTTTAGATCATCTACCCTTAATGAATTTCTTCTGACATCAAAAAGGCATGTATTCGAGCCCGCCTGCATCTCCACAAGAACTTCCTGAAAGAGGAAACGCATGTAGAGGTGAAGGCTTCATCTAATATTAGTAGCAAAATAAACTCTATTATACCGCACTACTCAGACCGATCATAATGGTAAACCGATGATCAAACCAACAAATTGAAGTGTTACATCCGTCGTTCATTTCCTCTCCACTTCACATTTAATATTGCCTACAATTCTTCTGTCAATTTTTATATCCTTTTTTCAATCGCTTTTTTTAAATTATGTATGATGATATTGCAGATCATCAATCTATTGCGGGAAGCATTGCATGTATCAAGAGCTATGGTAATGGTATCATAATATTTTCTTATCATTCTGATGTGTTCTTAATCCAGCTATTATAATTTGTCTTCCACAACATAAAATACATCCTTTATTATATTAACATCATTAATAATCGGTTTCGGATCTATCTTGTAGATATTTGATATTATCATTCGCTCCGGTGGCATCGTGGTTAGAGCGTCCGCCTGGGATGCTGAAAGTCGTGGGTTCGATCCCCGATCGAGTCATACCAAAGACTTACAAAAATGGTACTACCAAATGCTTCGCTTGACCCTCAGCATTAAGAGGTTAGTGTTTGGACTGGTCTGCCTGGTGTCAAGATGATGTGACTGGGTGGGACATCATGCTACATGTCTGCAGCATGAAGCCCTATCATCATCACCTGCCACACTGGAGACATTGTAGCGATATGACTGAAAAATTGTTAAAGCTACGTTAAAAATTAACACCACCACATAATTCACTTAATGGGCAGTATTTTTGACCATTCCATATTTGACAATATAGTTCCGTTGTTTCCATACATTTCTGGGAGTTCTACTTCAGAAAACGTGTCATGTTTTCCACAATACATTATGATGAAATTATGTTTGCTTCCTTGTCATATATTCATATATATATATATATATATATATATATATATATATATATATATATATATATATATATATATATATATATATATATATATATATATGACAAGGAAGCAAACATAATTTCATCATAATGTATTGTGGAAAACATGCTTTAGTTCTTTGGAGGGAAAATACTTGACTTTTAATATTTATTTCTTTCAACCCGAATTCGTATCTGTACTCCAGTATGTCGGTGATTGTTGCATTTCAGCCAACAACTTATTGAACTTTACCTGTCTTGATCGATTTATCTTCAATATTGTTATATTACAGTTTAATGATTCTATGTGTTGTTCCTTGTCGAATAGACACGGGTTCGTGAATGCATCCGTAATGAGATTAGTTTATCAGTATCATGAGTGAAAGCACTTATCGATTTTGATCCAGCTACAGTTTCAATTAGTGTGTCTATAATTGTTATTGTGGTTACAATTCTCGCCACACGCTGCTAAACAGTTGTCGATGCATGGCCGTTGAAAATAGGAGATACAAATACACACATGCTTAGTGAGTAGAGCGATCCTTTTAATGTTACATCTCGCAGCTTTTGCTTCACTTTGAATTTTTGAGGGTCAATCTATTAGTAACATGTTTTGTTCGATTTCTGGCCTTCTTCATGTGCAACATATTACGCACTTTTAACAATGATTCCCTTTATGCACTTACAAATGTAATTCAATCATATAAAATCTATATCATGGAAATATAATTTTGAGCTGTTGTGCATTATTCAGGCCTAGCATTGTGTTTACACAGAACACACTGAATTCGTAATTTTGATGTTTCTGACACGATTTTGGTTGACTTCGTTTAAAAGCTGTTACATTGTCAAGTGAGTCATCGTTAAATGGCAGTTCAGATGTTTTTCTATTTACCTGGTTTAACTTTTTTGTTGGTGTATTCAAATTCATCACTGTTGGAACACCCACTGCGCATTTTCATTCCTGATTATGCATTTACTGACCGGGTTTGAGTTAGCATTGATACAAAAAGGTGTCCCCAGCTGTCATTTCTTTTCCTCCTTGAAAGATGATATTTATACACTGGTATATATATATATATATATATATATATATATATATATATATATATATATATATATATATATATATATATATATATATATATATATATATTTGTCAGCATGCGAAATAAAGCTAATATTAATTTTAGCATCCACCGTCACCCGCTTGAACAGCCCGTCGGAAAAGTCTAGCGTATTATCACAACAGTCAAATTACAAAACTTATATATAATAATAATTCCTAAATATAAATTGTCGATACGTTTGACATACGGGTACTGATACATGTAGGATGCTTCAATTGAAATTCGTCTTAAGATATCAATGATGCTGAAGTCGTATATATGAAAGATGTTTGCAAGACCAGTTAGTTGCTTATCACTACTCATGTAATTGGCCGAATGTTTGTCAACTCAATCCACTACGATAACTACTATCTTGACTCGCGCGCCATTAAGCAGTGATTTAAATTTTTCCAAAGTAATCCACGTCAGAAAATGCAGTCTGACCATTTAATTATTTATTTCACTTATATTTGTTCCCTCATCATTATTATTTTTAAATACACTTACTGTAGTTGTGAAAGCATCTGGTAAGTCGTTTCTTTCACGTAGTCTTTCATAAAAGACCACGACACACAAGAATCTATGATTTCTCTAATTTCAATGGTTTTGGCCATGTTCTTTGTGACGGCGCCTCGCATATTCGAAAGAGATATGTTAATATCGATTTTTTTCTCTAGAGTAGCTTGTCAACTTCGTTAAATCCACTTTAGGGCAAATCAAAATTCGTATCGACGTCACGTCCGATTGTTGCAACATCGAGTTCGTAAATGTTAACTGGCATTCTGTATAATATCAAGTGTACTTTCCAACACACAATGTAATATGAGTTGTCCGTTTCGATCACTATGTAAATACTCAATGGCCTAAAATGGAGTTTCATACCCGTAAAAGTAAAACTAAATGATAAGAATATATCGAATCACCATCTACAATATAGATAAGAAGAGTTTTGGGAACCACCATATGCAATCAAATATAGTCAAGATCCTATGTCTGACAGTATAGCCAGCAGAAAAGCACAAGGCAAAATTGGAATAATTCCAACAACTCGATGCCAGAACAAAAAGCTTTGATCCCGAGTCAGTTCTTAAGAAGATCATAGACCAAGAGCTATGCTTTCTCCGACGGTCTTTGACGTGATCATCGCGTATGCAGTTCTGACGGCTACTAATGAAGCTACTTTATCAACCTTGTTCTCCATCAACACTAGAATTGCTGCAAGGAACGGACAATATTCCACTTCACAATTCATTGTGGAGCCACTGGTCACTGACAAATTAGGAGGCACTCCGCGGATTTAATATTTAGTATATTCAAGTCTATACATTTTTGTCAGCCTCGGAAAAGATTTTGCTATTTGTTTTGATGTTCGAGAACAACATCAGTGTGCACATCAATATCCTTTCCATTCAGAGCAAGTTCATATATGGTAAAAGATGCATTGACTGTGGTATAGATTGACATTAAATCAAAAGTTGACGATTTGCTTTTTAAGGATTACAGACGTCTTCGTATTCGTAAAATCAGCACATGGTTGGTGATCCGACGATGACGTAATCACGTAGAGGTTATACTATGATTATAAATTACTATACTATGATTATGATTATATTAATCACGTAGAGGTTATACTATGATTGTAAAGCAGTGATCATATTAAACAACCGTTAAGGTTTTATAGATCAAGATCAAGATGGGTCATTGAGTAGAAAGTGAAATGAATTGGAAATATATGGCCATGCATGAGTGATTACGGTTTAGTCTGCGTGGATGCGTCCGTGAAGGTGAAATCGTAGATTTCGTTTCTCATGATGCCATGTTTATTGTCCGTCATTGCATAGTACAATCATATACTGGGTTTCGAACATGATTTGCAACGCCCAATGGTTAAACAGGAATCTTATGAAGAGTACAGATGGTAACAATTGTGAGCTGATGGAAACACTGTTTCTATCTATCTATCTATCTATCTATCTATCTATCTATCTATCTATCTATCTATCTATCTATCTATCTATCTATCTATCTATCTATCTATCTATCTATCTATCTATCTCTATCTATCTATCTATCTATCTATCTATCTATCTATCTATCTACGTACGTACGTACGTACGTACGTACATATGTATGTATGTATGTATGTATGTATGTATGTATGTATGTATGTATGTATGTATGTATGTATGTATGTATGTATGTATGTATGTATGTATGTATGTATGTATGTATGTATGTATGTATGTATCGATCTATCTCTCTCTCTCTATCTCTTTCTCTCTCTCTCTCTCTCTATATATATATATATATATATATATATATATATATATATATATATATATATATATATATATATATATATATATATATCAAACATATTTGATAGCGGTAATGTCGCTGCTGCATATGTACAACTGTCAATAACACTGCGAAGTAAATATCCTGATGAACAAAAGAAACCCACCTTTGCCTCATAGTTACAATTAAATGGAACCTGGAAAGCAGACTATTATATGCCTTGATTATAACAACTAAACGAAGCGCTATGAAGAACATAAAAACCGTGTCGATGTTACTTGTTACATTGTATATTTCACGTATAATGTATCAGAGCCTTACTGGACAGATAGATTAGTATATTTCATCCACGACGCGAGCAAATATTTTTCTACGATAGGAGATAGAATAGCGAAACGGATGGTCCATGGAGGAATGAACGCCCTAAAAGTTTGAAAGCAAAAGTTGATCTTCTTTTTCTTAACCAGGACCAGGTATGTGAGATAAAAGGCTCTGAACGAAACAGTTGCTTCCGCGGATACATAGTTGTTTCTAGTAGATACAAGAAATCGAGACCACTTATGTCTAAAAATTCATTGAGTGTGCAAGATGTACTTAAACCATTGGAATCTTAAAACCTTCGATGTCCAATTTAATTACATGCAAAATAATCATTTTGCGCTATACCACAGTAAACTTTGTGAATGGTTTGCCAGGTTCTGGCGTAAATTCCACCTGTGGTATTTTATTTATTTCACAGTCGTTAAAATTCATGATCGACATGATCCTTTTGGCTCTACATTCATGCAAATATCATCACGAAATATGTTCTCTACCTTCATACTTGCTGTGTCAGCATGGAATACATGGAAAGTCATATATCGACATGTGAGGGAATGGCGCCGCTGGACGGTGCAACAAGGCAATATCAGTTGTAAAATGTCTGCAGATTTATATCTATTGACAAATCTATTACATGACTTTATTGAAAACAATACAATGCCAGATATATCTGAATTAACATAATCAAGTCTGAGTATGTCAGTAACTTGTGCACGAGTTTCAGTTCTACCAGACTTAGGTTCACCCAGGTGATGATGGTAATATCGAAGTCCATCATCATTGTTAATGACGAGCTGCAAGCGTAGACCAGACCAAACATTCAAAACATCGCATAAATGCTTGAACAGGAAAAAAATATGCAGTTGAGTTTCCAAGCATCTGTC